AGGCTCTTTTTCACGGACCCCAGAATCTCCACCAGGGTCTAGGGCAGCGGTTCTCACCTTCCTCACACCGCGACCCTCTCACACAGCTCCTCATGTGGTGGCGACCCCCAACCATAAAATATTTTCGTTGCTACTTCATCACTGTCATTTTGCTACTGTGATGAATCGGGTGACCCCTGTGAAAGGGTCGTTTGGCCCCCAAAGGGGTCTCAACCCACGGGTTGAGAACCATTGTTCCAGACAGGCCCGCGGGAGAGGCTGGTGGTGAGGAAGGGCCCAAGACGGGAGGGAGGCAGGATGGAGCAGTCCTGGTCTGAGGCAGCACTGGGCAGCCCCCTGGCCAGGGCGGTGGGGCGTGTAGCGGGGTGGCAGCCCCGCGGCAGGGTGCAGAGGCCGGAGGTGGAGTGGGGGCTGAGAGTGACAAGGGTGGGCAGTTGTGGAGGGAGCGCTGAGGAGGCTGCCCGCTCACGCCCCTCTACTCTCCTCTCTCCTCCGGGGCAGCATCCTGATCCAGTTTATCTCGAACCCCTCCGCCCCCAACTGGTGGGGCTTCCTGGTGGCCGGGCTAATGTTCGTGTGTGCGGTGGCCCAGACGGTGATCCTGAACGTGTATTACCGCCAGATCTTCGGGGAGGCCTTGAGGCTCTACTCGGCTGTCATCGGTGTCATCTACAGGAAGGTCAGCTGGGGCAGGGAGGGGGGGGCCTGGAATGTTGACAAAGGCTCACAGACCTCATCCGGTCTCCTGCTGTCGCCCTGCAGGCCCTGGTCATTACCAACTCAGTCAAGCGGGAGTCCACCTTGGGGGAAATCGTCAACCTCATGTCTGTGGATTCCCAGCGCTTGTCAGATGTTGCCCCCTTCCTCAACCTGCTGTGGTCGGCGCCCCTGCAGATCACCCTGGCAATCTACTTCCTCTGGCAGGTGACTTCCTGTGTCCTGCCCTGTGTCCACTTCCTCTTGCTACGGAAGGAAGGCTCGAGCAGCAGAGAGGGGTCCGTCGAGGGGCCGTGTAATTGGCACAAGAGCTTGCCTGGCATTGGTGGGGGAGCCCTGAAGGTGTAGTGGCCCTCCAGGGTCACCGGGAGTCAGAACAGACTCAGTGGTGGTGAGTTTTCTGAGAGCCACTGTCGGTGGGACAAGAGGACCACAGGCTGCTGGTGTCTGCGACTGAGTTTGCGTGTTTGTTCACACACACCCCCAGTTGCATTGACACATAATTGACATATCCTACAAATCAGTAGTTCAACCATTCATATCAAGGGGCATAGTACAGTCACCACCACATCAATCTTCGAGCATCCCCGCCGCCATGATTACATCACCTTTAAAATGAGTTATGCAACCACAATCCATTCTAGTGTCCCTCCCCCTTCCCGCCTTCATTATTTACTCCCCAAATCCCCTTTCCCTCCGATCACCCATCCCTCACCCCTAGATGCCCTATACCCCCTTGTATCAGTTATTATCATTATGCATCCACTCCTCCTGTGTGTCACTGCTGGGAGACCCAACAGAAAACAATAGAGAACAAAATCGCACTAAGGATGAAATCATAATAGTATAAAGACAGAAATACACACGATGCATAAGAAGGAAAAGACCCCCGTCCACATTCAAAAACCCAGGGAGGAAATGTCGGTTGTGGAACCAGTAAGAGATACTTTCCCCCAGTACAAATCCAGGTCGCGTCTGCAGGAGGGTCAACTGGCCAAGGAGGGAGTTTGATCATGCAGGAGGGTCAACTGGCCAAGGAGGGAGTTTGATCAGCATGCCCAAATGACAATGGTCTCTGAGATCAGGCTGCTCCAAACTCTTGCCTTTGACTAAATTGGATCTGCCAGCCACTCGGTCCGACGGTGCCGGCACCCTTTCCTTGGGGAGGAGAGCCGGGGGAGGAGAAAGGGACTGGGAGGCAGGGTGGTGGGTGGGACTCTGGCTGTACTCATCTGTTGTCTGGACATCGGTCTCTCTGCTGGTGCGTCCTTACCTGTCACCACGGCCCGTTGTCCTTATCTGATGGACTGCAGATGACTCAGTCCTCTGGTCGCCGCACGTCCGGTTTGCTCCATCTCCTTGGCTGTCTGTGGCTTCCTGTCCATGCCCACGCTCCAGGCCGGCAGCCCTGTCTGGCTCCTGACTTGGATGGTTCGGTTCGTCTTATCTGTCAACTTGTGCCTCCTCAGAACCTGGGCCCCTCCATCCTGGCTGGGGTCGCCCTGATGGTCTTACTGATCCCGTTCAATGGAGCTGTGGCCATGAAGATGCGGACTTTCCAGGTGGGTGCCCTCAGCAGCGGCCAGGTGCTGGGGGCGGATATGCATTTACCTGCAGTCCTCAACCTGGACCTGGCTTCCGGGGCATGGGGGGCGCTCAACCACATCTGTTTGCAAACCTCCTCGAAGTCTTCAGTCGTCCCCACTGACAAGGACTAGACCACATGCTTTCTGACAGTCCCACCCCTGCCCAACTGCCCCCGAAGTGCTTCTGAAGCTCTCGCCTGTAGGCCATGGCCAACCGTCAGCCAGGTTCTGGAGGACCTCTGGGTTCCCTCTGCTAGGAGTGCTCTTTAACATCTCCCCCCCTCCCCCTTGGCCTGCCTCCTCCTTCCCCTCCCTTCCAGCCTCCTCTCTCACTCTCTGCAACGGGTGTGACTTCTTCAAGAGGCCCCGATTCCCAGTCTAAGCTTGTTTCCCGGGCCTCCCTGGGGGGACCTGGGGTCCCAAATGAGAAAGAAAATGCCGTGGAGTGCTGTGCATTGGCATGGACTCTGAGGCAATGGGTGCCAGGCCCTGAGTTAGGCTCCAGGGGCAGAGGTCCGCTAGATCCTCAGAAGGCTCGCTGTCGTACAAGGGCCTGTGTGCAAAGTGCCCTAATCAAATCAAAAGGAAAGTACAACAGGCTTTAGAACCCTGCGGGCGGGGGAGAGGAGGGAGTTAACAATAGCAGAGCTGGGCTGGGGTGGGTAGTCCAAGGGGAAGCACCTGTCAGGCTGTCTGAGCCCCCAGAGGTAGGCCTGGGGAAGGGGACCAAGCGTGCTGTTGCCTTGTGTGCAGGTGGAGCAAATGAAGCTGAAGGACTCGCGCATCAAGCTAATGAGTGAGGTCCTGGGTGGTATCAAGGTGCTGAAGCTGTACGCCTGGGAGCCCAGCTTCCTGGAGCAGGTGGAGGGCATCCGGAAGGACGAACTCCAGCTGCTGCGCAAGGCCACCTTCCTGCACGCCATTTCCACCTTCACCTGGATCTGCACCCCCTTCCTGGTGAGCCTCTCCCCTGCAGGGCTCCTGCCTCCCTCCCACTGGGCCAACCCAGACCCCGGGACCCCTGGCCATGGCTGGAGTCCAGGATGCTGCCCTCATGCCCCACCCCCCACCGCTGCCCAGGTTACCCTGATCACCTTCTGGGTGTACGTGTCTGTGGACGAGACCAATGTGCTGGATGCCGAGAAGGCCTTTGTCTCCTTGACCCTGTTCAATATCTTAAAGATGCCCCTCAGCATGCTGCCCAAGCTCATCAGCGCCATGGTTCAGGTACCAGGGGTGGACTTGGGACCTTGGGATCCAGGCAGGGCTCCTTAAGGCCAGGAGCAGGGAGGTCTTCTGGGGAGGGGGCTTTTGGGATGATGGAGGGCTGTTCAGGATCGATGGAGGTCGTCAGGACCAGGGGTGACTTGGGCTGAGAGGCGATCCAATCAGGAGCCCTCCGTTCCTACCAGCCTGTCCTGAGAGTCATGGAGGTTTGTCTTGTGGGAGGAAGCCCAGCCAAGCAGACCAGGCAGGAGGCAGTGGGTGGAGAGGGTAGGGCAGGGCTCCCTCCAGGCCTGAAACACAGCCTCCTTCAGACCAGCGTGTCTCTGAAGCGGATCCAGCATTTCCTGAGCCAAGATGAACTTGACCTTGAGTGTGTGGAGAGAAAGACCATCTCCCCAGGTTCAGAGAGCTTATCCTGGGGCTGCCCCTGCCCCAGCCCCTGCTCCAGAACATTCTCAGCTTGCTCCAAACTTCCTCGTTTTTCTCTTGGGCCCCCTCCTCCTCTCTCTGTGTTCACTCTGCTTAATTCTTTGCCCCGCCTCCCTCCCTGCTCCTTTCCAACACTCTGCTCTTCTCTCCCCTGGTACCTCAGGGCTTCCCCTCTCCTTACCCCCGGGCTCCCTGACCCTGTAACCTTCCATCCTCCCAGGCGATGCCATCACCATAAACAATGGCACCTTCACCTGGGCCCAGGACCTGCCCCCCACCCTGCACAGGTACCAGTTTCTCCCAGACCCTTCTCAGCTGCCTAAGGTGGACCCGAGCTCAGGCCCCTAGAAGCACCCAACCAAGTCTTTGGCCCAGATGTGGAAGAGCCTCAGCTTGGCAGAGTAGCAACTGGAGGCGGGGAGGTTTGGACCTCTTGGTGGAAGGCTGGGAACCCAACCCCTGTCCTCCGGATCCGGCCTCTGACTGTGCTCCTGGTCTCCTTGCCCCCAGCCTAGACATCCGAGTGCCAAAGGGGGCACTGGTGGCCGTGGTGGGGCCAGTGGGCTGTGGGAAGTCCTCACTGGTTTCTGCTTTGCTGGGGGAGATGGAGACGCTGGAAGGCAAGGTGTCTGTGAAGGTAAAGGCGGCAGGCACTCTGGGAAGGGCTTGGTGCTTGGCCCAGCCTGGGCTGAACCTCAAGGTCAGTGTCTTCCACCGCCAGGGCTCGGTGGCCTATGTGCCCCAGCAGGCGTGGATCCAGAACGCCACGCTTCAAGAAAATGTGCTGTTTGGCCGAGCACTGGACTCCAAGCGCTACCAACGGACGTTGGAGGCCTGTGCCCTGGTGGCTGACCTGGAGGTGCTGTCCGGCGGGGACCAGACAGAGATTGGAGAGAAGGTACAGGGTCCCCCACCCCCACCCCCAGGCAGCCCCATCTCCTCCACTCAGCTCAAATGCTCCCTGTCTGCCTTCGAGTCTTTGGGGGGTTTTGTTTGGTTTGCTTGTGTGCTTGTTGTGCTTGCTGTTTGTGTTTTGTGTGGTTTCCTGTATCTGAAATCGAAACCAATACAAAAGAACAAACTCACTGCCATTGGGTTGATGCCGACTCATCGTGACCCTGTAGAACAGGGTAGAACTGCCCCTGGGAGTTTCCAAGACTGTCACTGTTTATGGGAGTAGAAAGCCCTGTCTTTCTTCTGTGGGGCTGCTGGTGTGTTTGAACTGCCGGTCATAAGGATCGCAGACCAATGCACAGCCACGACACCACCAGGGCTGCCTGCAGCTCAACTTACATCCACGTTTATTCATCCGTCCACGCATGCATGCAGATAAGGCTGCTTGCTCTCATAAAGAAACAGTCCTGGAAACCCTACAGAGCAGTTCTACCCCGTCCTTTGGAGTCACATGTGGCTGAAACAGCACGCTTTCTGGAAGCTTGGTGTGCTGGACCCACGCCTACTGGGGCACGTCGGCCACAGAGCCCTGGCAGTAGAGACGACAGCGGGTTGGTGATGGGTTCGGTAGAGTGAGATGGGCGGGGTGCAGGGGGGGCACCGATGGGGGAGCTGGCTTAAGGAGAAGCAGCCTTTTTAGCCCAATCTTAACAGTCGAGGAAGAGGCGTTCATTCATCCGCTCATGAGATTTGTATTGAACACCTCTTGGTGGCATGGTGGTTATGCTTTGGGCTGCTAACCACAAGAGCAGCAGTGTGAAACCATCAATCAATCTGCGGGGAAAAAAGGAGGCTTTCTACTCGCAGGAAGAACTGGAGTCTTGGCAACCCACAGGGGCAGCCCTACCCTGTCCGATAGGGTTGCTATGAGCCAGCATCACCTCCGTGGCAGCCAGCGAACGAGTGTTGCAGGCACAGTCCCTGGGTGACTCCAGCGGTTCGCCCCCCTCCCCTCCCCCATCCAGTGGGTCTGGGGAGGAAAGGCCTGCTGATGTGCTTCTGTGACAACAGCCATGCAGGCCCCATGGAGCCTCAGTGACTCGGGGGGCGGGGTGGGGGGGCGGGGGGTGTCACTAGGAGTCCGACTCCACTCCATAGCAGGCCGTTGGTTGAGCTGAGTTTTCGCTTAGTTGCTGAACGTGCTGGCGGTATTCTAGTCTGCGGTAGCAGACATGCCCGACGCCAAGCGTCCTGAGCGTCTCAGAGGCCCAAGCTTCATTTCCTTCCCAGCGCAGAGCAGGCCAGGCGCTCCAGTGGCACCGCCGCTAAGTGCTTGGCTGCAAACTGAAAGGGTGGGGTTTGAAACACCCCTGTGGAAGTAGCCCTGCACATTGGCCCCGAGGCAGGCCGTTAACTGCCTAGCCAGGAGAAAGACAGGGCTCCCGTAACCAGACAGACTGGGAAACTCACAGGGGCAGCTCTACCCTGTCCTGTAGGGTCGCTGTAAGCTGGCATGGGCTCAGTGGCAAGGCGTTCGGTTTGCTTTGGTTTGGAGGTTCCTTGGGAGAGAGACCTGCTGATAAAGACAAAATCCCTACGGGGCAGTTCTACTCTGTCACATGGTGTCACTCGGAGTCAGAAGGGACTGCTTGCTTTGAAAGTCAGAAGCACCCCACCCCCACGTCCACACACACCGAGGGGTGCATAATGTCAACGTCACAGCCAGCACAGCTGCAGGGATGGCGTTGTGTGCGTGTGACGTCACCCCAGTACTGGCTCTCCAAGCCCCTCCAGGAGCCCCTGTGCTTGAGGGAATGCAGGAAGTTGGGGGTGGGGGAGCTCTGCTTCCCCTCTCCTCTGTCCTCTGGGCCCAGCCCTGCCTCCACCGGAGTGGGAGGTGTGAGCTCACCTCATCTTCAGCAGCTGGACAACCTGAGGGTGGTGCTCTCTGCTCTCCATCCCTGTTTCTTCCCTTAAAGGCCCAGCACCACGGACAAAGCCATTACATCTGGTCTGCAACTCCTGCATCTAGAAAGGGGGTGCTAATGATGCCGCACTGGGAAGACTGATGTGAACACTAAATGGGATCACTGCTATTATGAAAGCTGTTGGTGAACCCTATGGGGGATGGGGGGGCAGATTAATAGGCCTATTAAGGGCCTCCTGGGCCTTTCAAGAGTCTGAAGGTGGCAGGCAGGGTATCCAGACAGCAGGAGGCTGTCCTCACCTAGCCGGGAGGACTTTGAGCTAGCTACTCACAGCTCCTTCAAGGGTGCTTCAAGGGCACAGGCATATGATATGCCCTGTGTGTTGTCAGTGGTGGGGTTCTTGTCCCCCCTGGCCCCATCTGGGCCTGCTGCTCCCCAGCATTTACTCCCCTGCTCCCACCAGGGCATTAACCTGTCCGGGGGCCAGCGGCAGCGGGTCAGCCTGGCCCGAGCTGTTTACAGTGACGCTGACGTTTTTCTGCTGGATGACCCCCTGTCGGCTGTGGACTCCCACGTGGCCAAGCACATCTTCGACCAAGTCATTGGGCCAGAGGGTGTGCTGGCCAGGAAGGTGAAACTAGGGATGGGGAGAACGGGGCTACTTTGGGTTCAAGGGCCCTGGGAGAGAACTGGGGGAGGCAGAGGGCCTTGGGGGGACCAGGAGGGCTGAGAGGGCTGAGAAGCAAGAGTGGGGGTGGGGGTCGGGCCGGGGCCTGGCTGGAGGGGAACCTGTACCTGCTCACTGGCATGCAGGAACCTCCCACTCCCCCCACAGCTCATGCCTGGGGGCAGGGGACTCTGAGGACAGAGGGGTGAGAGACACTGCTTTCTCCCCAGACTCGGGTGCTGGTGACCCATGGAATCAGTTTCCTGCCCCAGATGGACTTCATCATAGTAATAGCTGACGGACAGGTGTCTGAGTTTGGCTCCTACCCAGCTTTGCTACAGCGCAATGGCTCCTTTGCTGACTTCATCTGCAACTATGCCCCTGACGAGGATGAGAGGCAGCAGGAGGACAGCAGAACCGGTACCCACTACCCCCAGCCTGCACATCCCCGGCGGCATCCTGGCTCTCTGGCTCTGGTCCCTGAGTGCCTCTGGGGCCACCAGGAATCAAGTCCCACCTCCCTGTTGTCTCAGACGTCCAAAGGGTCCAAGAAGCCAGCCCTAGCTTATACACCAGAGTTGCTTCTTGGATCCATGTGCAACTTCTAGGTCAGGTGGTCTATTTATCCACAAAGGTTTCCTGAGCAAGGACTGTGCTTCCAGGCATTGTTCTAGGCACAGACACGTTGTCGCAGTGAACAAACCTAAAAGTCCCTCCCCTGGTGGGATGTAAGGAATTCTCCAAGCTCACAGGATTCTCCAGCTCCCCAAGCAACCCCAAACTCTAGGCTGGCTCCCAGCCCCTGCCCTGAGCCCCCCAGCTGGTTACCATTCCCATTCGTGTGCACAGTTAGCAAAGCATCATTGGATGCCAGGGAACCAATTTCTGTTTCACAGCCACTCTGGGTTGCCCAGAGAACCCCCCCACCCCCCCACCCCCCGTTGGTCCGTGAGCGGCCAAGTGCTTCTCCGTGAGGCCCCCGGAGCTGCTGAACAGCACTGTGAAGCTTGCTGAAAGGAGGGAGGGCTGGAAGTCCTTGGGTATGGATGACAACCCAAAGTAAAGCAAACACAAGTCCTCACACCTGGACCCACAGGTGGCTTCACGTACAAGGTAGAAAGACTGGAGTCGTCAAGAGTCCGTCCTGCGCGGACCCACAATCCAGGCTCACAAAAAGCAGCAGCCGAGATCAAAGGCATGGCAAAAATCTGCCTCACCAGGCCTCTTGAAAGTATCGGAAAGCAAGGAGGTCACTTCGAGGACTGAAATGTGCCTGACCCAGGCCGCAGTATTCTCAGGTACGTGAGAGTTGGACATTGAAGACGGAAGAAGAACCAGAGCCTTTGGATGATGGCGCTGGGGTCGAAGGTTGAAAGTACCACGGGCGGCCAGAAGACCAAACTGATCTGTCTTGGAAGAAGTACCGTCGGGATGCTCTTCAGAAGTGAGGATGTCAAGACTCCATCTCCCACGATCAGGAGAGACCAGCCCCCGGATAAGGACCTCCGCTTGATAAAGTAGAGGGCTGTGAAAAAGAGGAGGACTCTCGAGGAGCTGGATGGGCACCGTGGCTGCAGCAATGGGCTCAAACATAGCAATCGTGAGGCTGGTGCAGGACTGGGCAACATTTTCTTCCATTGTACAACCTGATGGCCTCTCTCCGCAGCAGCAGCAGCAGCAGCAGCAGCAGCAGCAAGGTGTCTGATGCGGAGCCTGGGACACACATCCTCTTCTGTAATCATCACAGAGGTGCTGGGAAGTGGCTATCCTTATTGTCCCCATCCTATACTTGAAGAAACTCCTGCTCAGAGGGAAAAGCAAGCAAGGGGGATTTAAGCTCAGCCAGCATGACTCCAGGAACCCTGGTGGAGTAGTGGTCCCACACAAGGCTGTGGTCTGCAGTTCGAAACCAGCAGCGGCTCCGAGGGAGAAAAATCGGGCTTTCTACACCTGTGTACAGTTACAGTCTCGGAAAACCCACAGGAGGGTCACTCCAAGTCAGCACTGGCTCGATGGCAGGGAGTTTGGGGGGGTTTTGGTTGTTGGTTTTTTTGTGGGTTTTTTTGGAGTGTGGCTCCAGAGTCCAAGCTCTTAAGCATTATACTTGAGTCCTGTCCTCTGCTGGCCCTGTTGTCTGCCTTTCAGTCCTTGTGTGGTTGTCCATTCCGACCTGCTCACTGGCATGGGATCTGAGGGATTCCAGGGCTTTGCAGGGTGAGCTAGCCAACCCCGCCTCCTTCCTCCCGCCCCTCTACAGCCTTGGAGGACGAGGAAGTGCTGTTGGTGGAAGACACACTCAGCAACCACACTGACATGAGCGAGAGAGAGCCTGTCATCTACGAGGTCCGGAAGCAGTTTATGAGGTGCATCAGGGCTCCCCAGGCCCAGTCAGGTGGGGTGCAGGTGGGCCCTCTGCTGGGAGCGTGTCAGAGGCCTGACTCCCTCCCTCTGCAGACAGCTGAGCTCCATGTCTTCCGATGGGGAGGGCGTCGGGCGGTCCGTGTCCCGGAAACGCCTGCTTTCAACAGACAAAGGGGCGCTGGCAACGGAGGCGAAGGCGAAGGGGGTGCTGATCCAGGAGGAGAAGGAGGAGATGGGCACTGTGAGTGGGCGGCCTGGGCAGGCAGAGAGGGTGGGCTGGCCTACAGCTGGCCTGGTGCTGAGGGTGTCCTCTGCGCCCACCGCTGGCTGCAGGTGAAGATGACTGTCTTCTGGACCTACGCCAAGGCCATGGGTCTCCGCACCCTCCTGCTCATCTGTCTCCTGCACGTGGGGCAAAGTGCAGCGACCATCGGGGCCAACGTGTGGCTCAGCGCGTGGACCAACGAGGCCATGGTGCAGGGTGTCCAGAACAACACCTCCCTGAGACTGGGCGTCTATGCCAGCTTGGGGATGCTGCAAGGTAGGGGCGGGGAGGAGGGGGCAACCCACCTTCTCTCCGGGCTGTGGGACCCTCCTCCCACCCTGCCTTTGAGCCTCCCGGCACTATCATCACCAAGATAGCCCCAGGGCCTCCCTAGCTCCATTTAGCCTACTCTCTGCCGCCCAAACGGCCCCTCCACGCCCCTCTACATTCACCCACTAGCCCAGGTGAGCCAATCCGCTCTCTGCCCCCCACTAGGGCTCCTGGTGCTGCTGGCCGCCCTCTTGTTGGCCCTGGGCGGTGTCCAGGCATCGAGATTGCTTCACCAGGCACTGCTGTGCAACAGCATGCATGCACCGCAGTCCTTCTTCGACACCACGCCCTCAGGCCGGATCCTCAACCGCTTCTCCAAGGACATCTACGTCATCGATGAGGTCCTGGCCCCCACCATTCAAATGCTGCTCGACGTCTTCTTCAACTCCATCGCCACCCTCGTGGTCATCGTGACCAGCACCCCGCTCTTTGCCGTGGTCATCTTGCCCCTGGCTGCCCTCTACATCTACGTGCAGGTGCAACACCCCCCAAACCAGGAGGGCGTGACCCGCGTGGAGGCGTGGCTCTGGGAGGGCGTGGCCAGAGGAGGTGGGCTGGGGCACGGCTCTCTCAGAACAGGGGTCTCAAGGGAGACTGGTTGGTGGGTGGGCTCTCTGATGGGCCACCACTGCCACATCTCTGGTGGGGCCCTGGCTCTTGGAAGGCGTGGTCTTTGCGTATGGGACCCCGAGGCAGGCTGATCAGGATTTGGTGGTGGGGTCATAGTCAGTTCCTTCACCCCTTTGAAAGCCATTCCCCTCACCTGTAAAATAATCACCAGGACCTATCTCATAGGGCCACTGCAAGGAATAAAACAAGGTACACAACCTTGGCTAGCTCTGTGGCTGGCCCTGGAACTTCTTCTTGTGGCTCTGTTTCAATAAAGGATTACCACGAGCAAGCACGCACACAAACACCAGACTCACTGCCATTGAGTCCATGTCGACCCCGCACGACCCTGTAGGACAGGGCACACCGTTCCCTGGGGGTGGGCTTCCGACTGTAACTCTTTACGGGAGTAGAACGCCTCATCCTTCTCCTGCGCAGCAGCCGCTGCCGCCCTCGGGACTGCAGTCCCTCGCCAACAGATGGGGACGTGTTATCTTTCCGTACGTGTCTAAACGCTCTGTGTGTTTATTCATAGACGCAACTGTACGTCCTCACCACAGATAGTTCATCAATGTGTGTAACACACAGCTAACGGCGAAAGGCATTCAGGGGGGCTCCCAGCCTGCCCTGCAGTAGCTCATCGGGGGCTGCAGGTAATCAACAGGTGGCTGCAGCTTCATACCACACACCACCCAGCTCAGCCCAGCCACAGGTCTGCCCACCTCGAGGCCCACAGAGCAGAAGCAGGAAGCTGGCGGCAGAACCATGCTTTTGTGGGGCCTGCTTTTAGACAACGCAGGGGAAGGGCTTTTAAGGAGGTGCATCCGAAATGATCTCCTGTCTGCACACTTTGCAAACACACTGGACAGTGGTGTGAGCACATTTGACGTGGAGATGAGGGGCAATGACTTACAAGGTCCCTCCAGGCTCTCCCAGCAGAGGGTAAGGCCCCGTGCCAAGCAGGAGTCAGGGAAGCGGCATGCAAGAAGGGGCCTCGAGACTGAGCAGAGGGAACTGAGGGGAAGGATGGCATGAGTTCAGCGTGCCCCTTGAGGGTAGGGGAGGGTAAGAGCTGGGGTGGTGGGGCTGGCTGGGAGGAGGCCCTGAGAGCGGGGGTTCTCAGGGTTGGCAGGACTGATCTGGGAGCCCCCCGAGTGCTGACCTCAAGCTTTCCCCCACGCCTGCCAGCGCTTCTATGTGGCCACCTCAAGACAACTAAAGCGCCTGGAGTCAGTCAGCCGTTCCCCGATCTACTCCCACTTCTCAGAGACAGTGACTGGGGCCAGCGTCATCCGGGCCTATGGCCGCAGCCAGGACTTCGTGGCTCTGGGGGATGCCAAAGTGGACACCAACAAAAGGAGCGACTACGCCTACATCATCTCCAACCGGTCAGGGCCTCCACTCCCCCTCCCCCTCCAAGACACCGCCCCCCACCCCACCCCAGGGTCTGTGCTTTTCTGGTCCCACCCTCCTTCCTGCACCAGTCCCATGGCCTCTTGCCCGTTCCCACAGGTGGCTGGGGATCCGAGTGGAGTTTGTGGGGAACTGCGTTGTGCTCTTCGCTGCCTTCTTTGCCGTGATTGGGAGAAGCAGCCTGAGTCCGGGACTGGTGGGCCTGTCTGTGTCCTATGCCCTGCAGGTATGGAGGGGCCCGGGCCCCAGTCGGGCACAGCATTCCCTGGGTTGCTGGGTTGTGCTCCCCGTGGAGGATGGGGTGACACCAGCTCTGGCAGGGTTCACCGTGCAGAGTCGGACATGGAGGGGGGGGCAGGGGACAGGAGGCCGTGAGAGTCCAGAGGAGTATTTTTGCTTCAGGTGTTGGAGAAATGGTCTTGAACTTGGCCTCAGGGAACCAAGAGGGCACGTCCTGGCTGCGGGCATGGTCACCTGGCAGAGGTTCTGGGATAAGAGTGTGTAGGGCTCAAATGCACTTCATGTTCACTTACCTGCAGAGAAAGTTCAGAGAAGGTGCAGGAGGCCGGGCAGGTGGCCCGGCTTCCCGCTTGTGCTTTGGCAGGACGTGGAGTCCTGCAAATGGAACTGCAAAGCAGATGGTGTTCTCGGGGTCTCAGGTGGCTGGTGCCTTGAGTGCTTTCGCAAATAAAGAGCAGTCTGATCCAGACAGACCTTTAATCTCTAACTTAATGCATCTATGAATCACTCAAGGGCCTTGAGAGAACACAGGGTCTGATTCAGCCGCAGGCCCGGGGGGGCTTGGAGATCTCCATGTCTGTCAAGACTCCTTGGTACCCAAAGTGTGGGTCCATGGAAGAGCTGCAGCAGCAGTGCCTGGGAATGGGTTAGACATGCAGAATCTCAGCCAGCACTCTGCCTGCACAGCCAGCCACACAGCTGCCTCTTCACAAGGTGCCCAGGCAAGTCTTGTGCACATGCAGGTTTGAGAAACACAGGGCGAGGTGTGGTCCTTGGTTAAGTCTGGATTCTCACCACCCGTCACACCGCTGAGTCAGCTCACCAGAGGGCTCTTCTGTGGCCTTGTGCAGGCCCACCTGGATCAAAGATGGGCTAAAAGCATGAGTTAGAGGGGACTGAGCTCTTCCCCCAAATCATTGTGTGGATGGAGGGCTGGTGGGGGTGGGCCGGGAGCCGTATTCTCCCTTCACGTGACCCAGTCCCTTTGGTCAGGTGACATTTGCTCTGAATTGGATGGTACGAATGATGTCAGACTTGGAGTCTAATATTGTGGCCGTGGAGAGAGTCAAGGAGTACACTAAGATCGAGACTGAGGTAGGTACCGGGGTGAGTCCAGGCATGACTCTGGAATACCCGGGGAAGGGGACTTGATGGCCTGCCATTCTTCTCTGCCAAGACCAGTTGTTCAATGAGCTGTTGATCCATCAATGGACAGATGGCGATCCATCTGTCCATTCAACCCTTACTGAGCATCTCTGCTCCCAGATGTAAAGAGCTGAGCAAAGCAGGGCGTCTGCCCTTAAGCAGACTCTGACTGGGTGAGAGATGTTAAGACACACAAAGGGCTCTGCACTGAATGGCAAGACCGCAGGGTTGTTGCATCCACAGAGGACAGATAAGGGGGGTGGGGGTCATTGAGCTGGGGTGACCTGTAAGACCACCTGAGACTTGGAAAAGCAGGTTTTTCTGGACTAGATAAGATGGCAGGATGGGGAGGGATGAGGCAGTGGGAAGGTGATCTTTCCAACCACAGGGGTCAGCCTGGTTGAAGGAGCAGAGGGCAATGGCATAGCTATTCTTCGGGAAAGGGGCCCGTCCTCTGATTTTGTCCCCCCACCCCCTTGACCCCTTCATTCAGAAGCCACACATCTCTGAGATCTGAATGTTAGGCACCCTACTTTTACACCACCCTTCTCATCCCTCCCAGCCACGTGTCCAGGTCACGCCATGTTACAGTACTTTGTCCTTGTGGGGAGGCCCAGTCCTGGACCCTGCCTTTGTCTCTGTTCATCAGTTCTTTCTGGCCTTCCCTCCTGGAACCTGTCTAACCTTGCTTCTAACTGCCATCAACACAGTGCTCTCAGTTTTCTTACTCATCCCTCTGTCCCTCCGTGGTGCTACCCGACAAAACCCACACCCAGGGGCAGCCGCCAGTGTAGCCTCCTCGTGCCTAAGCTCAGCGGCTAATGTGTTGCTGGAGAAACTCACGACTTTTGCCACAAGCACTGTAACCACCCAGCACCCCAGGCATCCCTGCTCAGCCTCCTCGATGAGCATGAGGCCCGCTTTCAGAGAGCGCTGTTTCAAACGTCCTCCCCTCTCAGCCCCCCACAGCTCCTCCTTCCTTGCTCTCTGCTGGAGACCTTGCTTTTTGCTACTTGGAGAGAAAATAGGTCAGACGATGCAAACTCCCACAACCTCCTTGCCTCAAGACGTTCACGGCCGCCTGCATCTTCCTCATCTCTTGCTTCCTCTCTGAACACGCAAGGGCCCTCTTGTTTCACAGTCCAGCCCCACAGCTTCTTCTCACCAATGCGCAAGCCCCCGGGCTTTCTCAGTTACGCCCTTCAGTTCCTGTCTCGAGAATCTTGTCCCCTCTGTTGGGTGCTTGCCAACCATCTGCAACCATTGATGTCATCTAGCCTACCTGGACAAACTCAGCAGCCCCTGCCTCTCCCCGACCTCTCTTGTCAGCGACTGCCCCATCCCCTGCTCACCCTCGTCCTAACGCTGACTTAGAAACCAGAGGGTTGTCTATGAAGAATCTACCTCCTCATTTCCCCTCGAGCCCCAGCGCCTCCTGCCTCTAGCCAGGGGAAACAGACCATCAGCAAAGAAACAGCCCTTTATGTATGGTGATAACACGCAGGAGCAAGGCATGCCCCCTGCTGCTCTATGCAGAGTGGTCGTGGTCAGGGGAGGCCACCTGGAGGAGGGGACATTTGAGTCAGGTCCTGATGGCATTGAGGGCACATGTTAAGTGGCTGAGGGCATTCCCACAAAGGGGACAGCAGGTGTTCTGTTTGCTTCCACATTTTCACTTCCCTCTCCCTCGTCCACCTTCTGTTCCAATCACCCCACTGAAAGTGCTCTTCAGGGACCTCTCAGGTGCCCAAGCTAGGGGACACATGGTGGTCCTCATCCAACTCAGCCTCTCAGGGATGTTCAGATGGCAGGACTCTCGGTCCTGCTTGGAGCGTTCTTTCTCGGAGATTTGGGGACCCTTGCTCTTGCCCCGTCAGTCTGCTTCCAGGGCATGCTCCTGTCCAACTTCCCAACCCTCTCCATACCCGGGAGCTCCATCCTTCCCAGGAACTGCCCCTCCCATCTGGGGTCCCCTGATCCTGTCTCGTTGTGGCTGTGGTTGCTATTAGCTGCTGTCCGTTCTGCCCCCTGGTGCATATGGACCCCTATGGATTGGACCACATCATGCCATAGGGCTTTCTCCTGTTGCTGCTGCTCCTTTTATTTTATTTGTCATCATTGAGAATATACACAGCAGGGCATACACCAGGTCAGCAATGTTCCATCCTCAAACTGCACCCCTGTTCCCACCCCCCTTTCCTGAGCTGTTCCTCACCATTAATGCGGAGCCACCGCCCCTAAGGGTCCCCTCTCATCTTTCAAGTGGCCGCTGTCAGTTTGACCCTGTGGAAGTAGTTCCTAAAAGGAGCACAATGCTCAAGGCAGCCCTTCCTCGCTAACGAATTAAGCTAAACTGGGGTTTAGTGTAAAAGAGGTTGTCAGGGAATATGGTTGACTCACGGTGTTAAGATGATCTCAGGGAAATAGCTTTGGGGATTAATCTAACCTCAGTGACTCCAGAGAATTTGGATTCCCTGAGATGTTGAAATTCTGCCCTGCATTCCTCTTTCCCCTCACACACACACACCTACCCACCCCCGTTTTGGATCAGGATTCTTCTATAGTCGCGGTTCTCAACCTGTGGGTTGGGACCCCTTTGGGGGTCAAACGACCCTTTCACAGGGGTCGCCCGATTCATAACAATAGCAAAATGACAGTGATGAAGTATCAACGAAAATAATCTGATGGTTGGGGGGTCGCCACACACGAGGAACTGTATTAAAGGGTCGCGGCATCAGGAAGGTTGAGGACACTGTTCTCTGGTCTCTTCAGTGAGAACATTCAGTAGCGTCTGTAGGGTTCTCACTGGTTAGTTTGTTTGCTTTTCATCTTGGAGGTGCATCTCCAGGCCTTTCTTCCTAGTCTCTCTTTGTCTAGAAACTATTGAAACTCATAGCAACACACAAGGCTCTACTGATAGATGAGTGGTAGCTGCTGGTGAGGTGCTTGGGCTAGGAATCGAACTCAGGTCTCCTGCACGGAAGGCAAGAGTTCTACCCCTGAGCCATCACTGGCCCCATTCTTCAGACCCACCCCCATTCCAGTTGTTCCCTGTCTATACCCATGATCCTCTCTTCCTGGGCTAAAATATTCCACCCCCTCACCCTGCTACCTTCCTTCTTCCTGGACACCATCTCCCGAGACCGCTGCTTGCACTTGCTTTGCTTTTTGACTGCTGCCACTCGGGCTCCCTCTGCCTCCCTCCAGGGCTGCCTCCTGAGTGTGTGACCCGCTCCATCACACAGGGCTTCACTCTTAGAAGAGCCCTCTGGTTGAGAAAGACCTCACACTTGATTGAATGGTCTGCTGCCGCCACCCTATAATCCTCAATAATTTTTGAACAAAGGGCTTTACATTTTCATTTTGCACCGGGCTGTGCAAATTATATGGCTGGCCCTGGCTCCAAGCCACCACCATCTCATATCCAGATTATTACCTCATCTCCCTACTTCCCTCTGCCCTGCCACCCCTGGTCGATTTTCCTCTCAACCCCCAAAAGGAGCCTTTAAAACTCATGCCAATCAGTATAGCAAATGTGATGATGAAAGCTGATGGAGCCCGGCTATCAAAAG